TGGGGATGCTGAGCACTATGCAGCATAATATACTGCATACAGTGCCCTCCAAAGTAATCATGCACTTCCACGCAGTTTCAGCCACTGAAGCATGTCTTTTATTTTATTTCACTCTCAGATAAGATACATAATCGGGTTAACGCAGAAGAATATACAATATGTAAGTTAAGAATAGAATTAAATAATTAAAAATAATTACTTTTACATCCTATAGGAGCCCATTTTAATGAGCTCGAGGTCCTAGTGCCACCACTGCAAAGAAGCACAAACCAAACAGAGTGTCAGCAGCACCATGATATGTTGTTTTTGCTGCACAATTACAATAATGTAGGGCCAGTGCCGCAAAGAAGCCATTGGAAGCCTTGAAATCAAATGACTGAAAGCAAAACTTGAATGTTCTCTCAGTATCTAGAAGCCTGATGTTGACCATTTGTATGGGAAACAGGCATCATTTCCATGAGCTGGTATTGGGGAGGGGGAGTTTGTATTTTCAGGAGACCTGCAGCATGTGTTCTTGAAATGTGTAAATAGTGTTTAATAAACACAAACACGCAGTTTGCATTTGTGTGTTTTTTTTTTTTTGTATAGAATCCACCCCCTCTTACTGCCATTGGTTTACACTGCTATTCGCAGACACCTGGTCTATAGATGCTCAATCAATTGCTGTTTGTTGTTGGTGTGGCGGTGCATTTATTTATTTATTTATTTTTTTGTCCCCATCTGTTTGGTTCAGTTTTAAGCATTCTGGAAATTCTTCCACCATGGTCCATAAAATGAAAGTTCATCAATTAAATATCATTTTCTATAGGTGACATTGTGATCTTTCTTGAAATACACCATGTGCTATATGTATTATAACACGCAAATTGATTTCATGTTGAGAAATTAATCATCTGAATATATAAAACCATTTTAATTCCACTTAGGCTAGCTACATTTAAGGCTAAGTCCTGCTTGTTACATCAATGTAGATCAGATTAGATAAGGCTCAAATTAAATAAATGAATTGGAGTTTAAATCCATTCTCAGTTCACTTGTGTATAATACACAGCTGTTCATAGATCATCCTCCAAAATATGCACTGGAATTATGAATCGGCTCATTATGAATCGTACATGTTCGAAAGAGAAGGTTTATTGACTCGGGAACCAGTCGGGACGATTTCGGCCTGATTTCGCCTTCGTTTTCAGTACATAAAGATACATCTTTTCATTAAAGAGACACTGCAGATTATTACAGGAACAACCACCTGTCGCCATGTGGCACTAGTACCCGCAGAAAAAAAAATAAAAAATACAAAATTTGACGCACCGCCACACCAACAGCGACCAAAAATTGATTGACTCATCTATAGACCACTAAGGTGTCTGCTTATAGCAGTGCAAACCAATGGCAGTGAAGAGGGGACGGGTTCTAATGTGTTTCTCGATTTAACTTTGTAACGTAATGCTCCTATGGTAATGATATTAGTTTACTATTTTAGTCGACAGCTAAAAACTGTTTGAAGGTCTAGCTCAACGTCAGCTACTAATATCAAGGATTTGTCGAGAATTTCAGGTAAATGAAATTATGAACGTTATCAAAGACGTAACTTAAAGTGGATTGTCAACAGAGACAGAATATCAGAATCAGAATCAGAAAGGTGATCTGTTGAAGATCTGTGAGAAGATGGGGGCCAGCTGGTCAGCGCAGGTTTTCAGACAGGCTGGTGTAACACCATCTGGGCCTGGTGCTTTTCTTCTCTTGTTCTTTCTGACACACAGTCTAGATATCATCTAACATAATGCCTTAAAATTGCACTTCAAGTATGTTTTACATACGCATAATGTGACAGAGAGTGAACTCTCACCCACACTTCTCTGTCTGTTGAAGGGTCGGTGGGAATGCATTTGTTTTACTTGTCGCTTGTTTTCTGCATCCTGACTGCATGCCACATGACTATGGAGGACGAAACCTGCAAAAACAATAAATAAATTAATACACAAATAAATAAATAAATGTGTGCATAAATACATGTATTCTTGTTTAAATACATATAGAAATAATTAAACATGTGATTAAAGTAGGTAAATAAATTTAATAAATTGGTGGGCAAATGGAAAATGTTTAAGGAAATGCTAAAGTCATCCTAACTATTTTCCTTTGATCACTCATTATCTGTGACTTTACAAACAACCCAACGAAATGGCCAGTGTCGTTTCCTGACGTCATTTTTTGTAACCCGATTTAGTCTCCAGCTAGAGACAACTGTAATATCAGTATCCCATGGACATCGTGAGATGACTGGTCTGGTATGAAGTGGTTTAATCGAGGAACAGACAGTTTTTTTCCCATTAGTTATCAGAACAGAAAATACAGGCGACAAAAGTATGTTTATTAAGCAAATAACGGTTCAGTATTGCAATTAAGAGCTATGTAAGCATTAATATTTTACATTGGCCACTTCAAATCTTTTATGATTTAGCTCTCTCATGATTATAACTACAAAACTAGCCCTATGAAAAAGTGTAAGATAATAATCAGTCCCCCTTGACTGATGAAGTTAATACGCATGCGCAAGCAAACGCTCAAGCGCGTCACACACGATCCGCCTACGCTTGCATAATTGACACCCTCTCATTAATGTTGTCCTTGTGTTGCGCAAGGAAAAAAAAATGTGGAACTACATTCAGAAATAAATGAGTGATCAAAGGAAAATAAATAGGATGAGTTTAGCATTTCCTTAAACATTTTCCATTTGCCCACCAATTTATTTTATTTATTTGCCTACTTTCATCACATGTATAATTATTTATTTAAGTATTTAAACAAGAATAGTGTATTTATGCACACATTTATTTATTTATTTGTGTATTTATTTATTTATTGTTTTTGCAGGTTTCGTCCTCCATACATGACCACATCCACCTGTGATGAGCTCCTGACTTCAGAAGACACTGAATTCTGCAAGTAAGACTTCATAATGTTGTCATTCTGTCCTGTGAGAATTTCATTGTGACCAATATCCTATTTTGGTTATTACAGTCTCTAGGATAATAGCGTATGTGTACTTCTTACTATGGTACTGAACAATAATTATCTGAGCCAGGCCAAAATGTTTATTGGTTTAATATACTGGACATCCCTGTCTGCTTAGCTACTTAGTATTTCCCTATACCGTATGTCAGTTCCAATATCCACCAGCATTTTTTTTTCCTCTAACATTTTTTTTTCAGTGAATATTCAGTGATTGCAAAATACATAAGTTATATCCATAATCTTAAAATAACTTTAACTTTACTTTGGAGACACATCTGTCTAAATCTATCAAAACAATGCTCTCATTTAAAGTAAATGTGCGCATGTATTTCTTTGCTCCAAGAGGGCTGTCACTATAATAATTATACTGTAAATTGCTATGGGTAAAAGCATCTGGGAAATGACAGCTGCTGTTTACTGGCTATATATAATTCTTGGGATTCTGCATTATATTTAACATTGTCTTTATGTACATATGTACTATAATTACATAACATGCAAAATCAAAAAAAATAATTTTGACCCATATGCACTGTAAACTATGGGTATTAATGCAGAGTTCTTTTTAATATAAAAGCCGCATACTGAATGTAGTAAACAGGTAATATGATAAAAAAAAATGCCCTGAATGCTTGCTTAAAATACTGTAAAAAAAAAAAAATATCACTATAAAAAAATGAACAACATATATGCATGTAAATTCCTTCAAATCTCTTAAATAGGTATTTTATCCTGCTGGGATTGGTTCGTTAGAATTCCAGTAGGAATCCAATACAAATGTCTTTTAGCGTTCCTTTAGGAGTTTTGGACTAAGGTTAATTTCCAAACCATATTTCCTTAAATGAACTGATTTCAGAAGTCTGGCTTGTAGGCCGGTGTGGGATGTGTAGGACTCCCTCAGAACACTGAGTCATTGATGCTTAAGCAGCCGTTCCCACTCAAAACCCACACAGCAAGCCTTACAAATCTAACAACTTACTCACTAGTTCAACTTGCAGTGTAATCATGGGCTATTCACAGTTTATATTAGTGTTTCATGACCTGTCATAGGAAACCATTGAATAATGATGGAGTACTAGACATTCGTACCTGCATTTTTACTCTTTAGGGGAGAATTAAGGGTGATTTACCCTGATCTGGTTGTTGACAAATGCATGATCGTCCCTCAGAGGATCAGAGAGAAGATCAGTAAGGAGTGGGGAGCACCTCAATTACAGCTGCCAAGTGCTGATGAGGTAAGATAAATTCACTCCATAATCTCATTCTGACCTCTTTCTCACTCTATCAACTAGTGTTCAGCGGTTTAGCCTTTAACCTGCGATTAATAATGGTCCTCTGCCAGGCTAGAATGTGTCATAAATTATATAAACTTGGTGAAGTGTGTGCTAATTTTAGATGTTATAATACATTCTCCTATCCCGGTTTAATATGCACACACAGCTGTAAGGAAGCCATGTGTAGGTTGATTTCCTGACAAGTGGCAAATTCATCCACTGATCTGTATGTTTGAACATCATGACCAGACTCACACAGCAATACTGGCTCAATGGCAATGACACTCTTCAGCTTTGAAGTGTTGAAGTGTGAAGTATTGTGTTTCAGTCAAAATAGAAAGGTCTCTAATGCCAATTAAATGGTTCTTATCCACTCCGTCTGCTATTTTAATTACTTAGGAGATTCTTTGAACTGTATTTCAAATCATAGTTTGTATTTCATGTCAATCTGGTGTGTTGTTGTTATGTATTGTCTCCAGAAGATGGGGCAAGTGTTCCGTAACTGAGGCATATGTGTGCTGAAATGAATTCATGTTATAAAGACAAAACTCTTTTTGAGTATGAACATAGAAACAGCATGGACATCTTTTCTGAACCGTAATGTTGCCTTAAAGTTTGTCTTCAGCCATTTATGGCATTTACATGAATGTGGTTGATTGTACTCAGAGGTAATCAGAGATATTTTTTATTATACTTTTTAAATTAAAGTCAGTGTCATATCAGTGCTGCAGTGA